TCGCATTTAACGGTTTGCCTCTTGCTGGATCGATACTATTATCCTGATTTAATTTTGCGAGTAATACTGAATTGCCACCCAATATCTGTTAGAGGGCTACGACGTGAACTCGTAAGGAAGTTGCAAAATCCTTTGTTGCCTTTTTGGGCTCTTTGATACAGCGAAGCACGTCACTCGCTTATCATTAATTAAGCCACAAGCAAACAAACAACTGTACTTTCATCCATTTTCTTGCTTTTCTTTATTGTCATGTTGTCTTTTTCATTTATTTCATTTTATCTTTTACCCTAAGAGTTTTTCAGGTACGCATGTGCGTAACTTGCCAACAGTAAGCTACGACGCGTCCAGACTTGCTCCAATAATATGATCGGCGTTGAAAATCTTGCTTGATTTTCAGCCCTGAAGACTCTTTAAGGAATATATTGTCTTGTTCCTCTTCTTTCTCTTCCTCAAGTAGCAAGGGGAAGTAATGGCTTGGCTATATTAGGTTCCATGCCTCTAACACTGATAGACAGGTCGACAAGATTTTTTTAATTTGGAGTGGGTGAGGGCATGCAGCTTGAAAGACGAATCGTCTGCTATTTTTCCTCAATCGGTGCTCAACTGCAAACTTAAAAACACTTACATTTCAGTTTGTCAAGAAAAACTGCACTCTTGCACTTAATTAAAAGCACTTCTAAGTACCAGGGGCCTGGCCTGGGAAGTCAAGCAACCCTCAGAATCCTATAGCTGTTCCTTAAAAAGAAGTGTAGTTTTCTGTAGCAGTATAATGTTAACACTAATCCCAGTTATTAATATTATTATTATACATTGTACTCATGTGACCAATTTACATTCCACTATCATATTCTAAAATTTTGATAAAATAAAATTATTAAAAAGATCCTAAAATACCAATTTACAAGCTCAAGCCATTATCACTTTCTAAAATTAGCGGACACACGCTTGGCTAGCGTTTAAGCGGCAGTCATCAATGAAATCCCCTTTTGCTAGGGAATTTTGTGTAAAGGTGTCCAAGACCCTCTTACACATGTGTGTACCGACCTTAAAACCTCAAAAGAAAACAATGTTCTAATCCAAGTAATAATAATGTGATAAGGTTCCTCATTCTTTTCTGAAAGAAACTGTTTTTTCAAAGTACACTGCGCTTGGAACGTCAGTCGGCATTTGGTAGTACGGGACCTCTGACAGAAAGTCTCATTGAAAAGCTCAAGATCTCATTATGGATTACGTCCATAGACTTGAAAGATCTTGAAACTAGACCCACATTACCATGCTTAACGGTTTTATTTCAGTTGGGATTGATCAAAAGCACTTAATGTATATTTTTTCATATTTTTGTCATAGGATAAGTGTATTTGTGATCAAAACAAAACAAATAAGTAATACTGGTTGGTTTGGAACATCGCAATCATGAAGTCTAGTGGTGTTATCATCACGCACACTGAGCTTATAGTATCAACTAAAGAATCCTACTCCGCTGGGATTACCAATGTTTGGTATTTAGAAATTAGCGTAAATATGTTAAGACTTTTCAAATAGATTAAGTGTTGTATCTAACACCCAAGAACAATAGCCACCTCTAACCAGGCCCCCTCGGGAAAAGTAGTGCGTTCATTTGCATCTTTATTTCTTAGTTAAGTTTACGTTCAAGAATTATTATTTAGTCACTTTTAAGTTTCACCTGGTGGAGTGCACATCGTGCAGTGTTTTCATGCATCGGCAGAGTTTTCTTTCTTCATGGTTTACAATGCTACATGATGTAAGTTTCGGTCCGTGTTTTAGTTTCATTTTCGGTTTATTTTGTCGCTTTGTAGCAGTTTTACATTGTGTACTAAGTTTATTTTCTATTCTAATTTCAGCTTAAACTGACCAACGATCCAACAAAACCATTAATATCAGCTTCATCGATATCCGTTCTTGTTGTTGCGTTTGAATGCTGTCACACACCGCAAAGAAAAGCCGCCTTCGGCAGTTAAATTAAGAGTTTGGTATCTTTGAAATTTTGGTTTTCAAATCCCGGCGGCAAATAACAATAACTTACTAGGCACTAACGACATTAACAGAGCTATTAGCGATGTTGAATTAATGACGCAAATGATTTCTGCAAGTGTGATTATGGAAAATGTAAATAGCACACGTTTTTCCTCTTTGCTGAAATAAAGACTTGGAGTTTTTAAACTATAAATCGAGCTCTGAGTAAGGAAAATTTTAATGTTACCACAGAAGTCTTTTCACCACAGACTGAAGAAAGCCTTAGTCTTACTTACTCTCATAGGGACAGCAGCTAAATCCCAGGCAAAAATAAATTGTAGACATTTGACTGATATAAACTCGCGCTATTATGGACTCAGTCTGGCCAATGACGTCACTTTAAACTTAAGGTCCCTACAGTGTCCGCTGTAAAGGGAGTTGCCTGAGTGTGTATCGTAGTTGCGAAAATCTTTCGTCTGATTCAATCATTATTCCGCAGTTCAAATAGTTAAATTTCAAAACTGTTTCATGCAGAAGGGTAATTGTTTTAAAAGGATTGGAAATAAAAAGCTTCATTAAACAAGAACGAGTCTAAAAATAAGGTGTTCGCTCGATTATTCAAGCGACGCTATGGTATAATAACAGATATAGTCTATTTTGTTTGCCTGGTTGTTGGCCAGGAGATTCACGTATCGTCCACAATCCAGAAAATCATGCTATAATATTTAAAGAAAAAACTCGGATTATGCCATACGAAGCGCTTCTCCAACATCCCAAGTTTTCACGGCAATTCGTGCTAGTTCAAATATGCAAGAAGTAAATGAAAATATGAGATCACGCAATGAAAAAAACATTAGCCGCGAAGTAATTCAGTTAAGATCGAACAGTCGATTTTCACCTGTTCTACGATATACAGTTTACCACTAAAAGATGTATTTGTTCATGTGAACATATCTAATGGTTCAAGAGTTTTTCCTCTCTCGATAACGTATTCTTCTCCAGCTTTTCGTACATTGTCTCTATTATTGAATTGATATTTTGAATTGATATTTTGCACGTTATACTCTTTTTTCAAAGTTGAGGGTGTTATTAAAATTTAGGAAGCGAGGGTTTCTTGAGGTTTTCCCTGTTTTCAGAGCATACATCAACTATCAAGTATTAAAATCGTAACGTATATAGCGACTGATTCAAAAAAGGTTGTTTTGGGCATTGGGAAGCTATTGTTTGGTGGTCACTCAAGTAAATAATTGCATTGTTCCATATGCCCAAATGCCTAATGTCCAATTACTAAAGACCAGTTACTAAAGCAACTTTTTTTGATATTAGCTGTATAGACACACATCAAACATTGCTGCACCACTGATATGACGTCCGTATACTTTTCCACACCTTCCTTCGGAGCAAGATTCAACTAGGCTTTATAATTGTGGTTATTAATAGAGGCCATTCAATACAACCCAGTACCGCTGGGCGCTGCAAGTTGCTCGTGATTATGTACCACAGGTAGACCAAGCTCGTAGTTTATTTAAATCAGTAGTACAATACCGTAAGTTTCTTATGTTGCAAAGCAAAAAACATTACTCGACTTTCTTTTAAAAAAATTAATATAGTTCCCGGCATGCTGAAATATAAGTAAGCATGCGGAACAAAACTTACAATCCGTTAAAAGATATTTTCTCTCGGTGTAGCTCTGGCCCTGAGGAAGGCTAATATTGTTAGCCGAAATATTGGCCTATGAATCAGCCCTTTGTCGTAGTGCCGGCCCTGCATTCAGTTTTGTTTTCAACTTACAATAGTCATGCCCTAACGCGGGTTTTCCCTTATTGTTGCTCTTTCCGGGTGAAATTTGAACGATAGTTAATGACCACTTTTAACGGGCGTGTACAAGAGGATTTTTTTCCCTTTGATAACGGCTAAGTGAACGAAATAACTAACAATTGTAGGTTGAAGTTCTCTTACAATCTCTTACAAAGTTCTCTTACAAAGTTTATGAAAGCTGCCCACATGAGAACAATACGTGTCCCGCTCGATACAACTGATCCATTGCGTGAACGTGCATACTCAGAAGTTGCATGAATTACGCAACTTTTGATCAAGTATTTTTACTATATATAAATATATATACACCTAATTGCAATAAGGTTGTCATAAAAAAAAGCAAAAAGCAAAAAGCAAAAAGTTAAATAGGAATTAATTAGCATGTAATTATCATAGCTTGCAACATTCACAACACACACGCTTACAGCTGAATATTAATCACGTAATATGAGAGAAATCATTTGCATCAGTTTCTTACTGTCATTCTCATGCAATTCAAGGCTGAATCATCTAGCGAATTTCAAACTTGCTCGAATTACAAAGCAGATCGGATAACTACCAAAGAAATAATGGCTTCATTTTTTATTCAATAAATATAGCCTGTGATAAAATCCAGGAACTCAACGCGTGTTTTAGATTAGTGCTAAATAGAAAAGCCAGTCTGCGTATGGTTTGCAGTGCACAACACCCGTCTGATCACAATTTTCAAGCAACAAATCAGGGGCGTAGGTAGGACTTTTCATTGTGGAGAGGGTGAGGGGGTCCTCCGCAAGTTCCTCACCAGAGCCACAAACCAAGCTTCGTTTGTCAGGACATAATAGATTGGCAACTGAACGTGCGACAACTGAGACATAACATTATATTGCTCGCGTCAATTTACCTTTTTCTTTCTCGAATTGTGCGACTTCTTTTGATGGAGAATGCTGGCTCTAAAATGACTATGGCGCCTGTCTATCTTACAGCGCGGAATATACAGAATCATCTCTTGCTATTGTGAATGAATTCTTAAATAATTGTTAAACTCTGAATTAAAATACGCAAATGTAAATCACATGGCTAATTTATTCCTATTTGACTTTTTTGCTTTTTGTTTTTTTTCTATGACAACGTTATTGCAATTAGGTGTATATGTTTATATATAATAAAAATACTTGACCAAAAGTTGCGTAATTCATGCAACTTCTGAGTATGCACGTTCATGCAATGGATCAGTTGTATCGAGCGGAACACGTATCGTTCTCATGTGGGCAGCTTTCATAAACTTTGCCCTTGTGGGCTTGCCTTCGGAATTGTGTGAACAAAGCCTTAGGTTAAAGTGGATTCGACCTCAGTGAATGGAAGACTTGAGGGCATGCGCCAAGAAAGACTTATACAACCAGGGCCCGCGCAGGGGGAGGGGCTGGGGAGGTGGGAGGGGCAGGGCGCCCCCACTTTTTGAATAAAGTAAAATGAAATAAAATTGATGGAATAAGAATATTAGACTGGCGGACCTTGCCAAGGCATCCAAATTTATGATTGGTCCGTTTCGATCCTATATCACTAAATGACTATCTTTACAAAACTACACTTAGTCCGCCGACTTCTACGTTTTCACCAGTCTGGTGATGTAAAATACGCACAAACAATGGAGTCTTTTTTTATCAAGGTTCTTAAATATCCTCGGAACTACGATTTCTTAAAACAAATTAAACTCGATGACATTGTAGACAACATGAAGAAGTTTCGGGAATTACCTCAGCAGAGCATGACAAATGAATTTGTCCCGATTTACAAGCTTCTGTTGGTAAATCCTGCAACCATCGCAGGACAAAAAGGTCCTTTTCGGCAGCTCGAAGGTTAAAAACATGATCTCGTTCAACAATGGTTTAAAAAAGGTCCTAAACAGCCGCAACGAGAGAACGGACAAACTTTGAAAGTGAATGAAACACGTTAAAATTATGATACTGCTGTGCATGGTTATAACCCCTTTTTCGTTTATTAATAATTATCAATACATTTTTTCCCTAGAGTTTTTTTAAGTACTAATTATTGTAATGGTAATGATAAGTTATTTCATATCGGGGCGGTGCCTTGTATGGGTCTATAGGATCCTGTTTGCACTTGCACTTACTTTTTGTTGTTGTTTACTTATTGACATGTCTGATTGCTAATTCACTCCGTGCGAGGATTTCAGTATTGCCCCAATTTTAAAAGTGTTTGAAAAGTCTCCTGACGCTTAATGAGAACGCGGGTGTCCCAGAAGATTACATGGTCTGATTCGCAATGATGAAAGCGATAAATCTACCAAAGGCGCGACACGAATGGTGTAGAAGGCCTAAAGGTAATAAACGACCCTAAATGTAATAACATTTTGTCCTAAATGTAATAAACTCGTAAGTTACAAATTACAGTAATTACTCAAATAAGCACCGCATTTGAGGGAAGTTAATAAGCGCTGCGGCGCTTATTCGCGTAAATACGGTACTAAGAGGCATTACTATGGTTTTAAGCGCCGCCCTCAAATAAGCGCCGCAGTTTTGGAGAAAAAATTTAGTAAGCTTCGGTACATTTCCTTATGCACTGTGTAACTTGACGTTTACAAAAAAATTGCTTGTAAAGAGACAAAATAAAAAAAAAAGACTTGTAAGCCTTAAAAAGTTTTTCATACTTCATTTTTAAAGAAATTTACTGCAAAAACCGTGGACGAAGATCTTGTTGCTTGTCAACGTTGGATCTCTAGAAAAGAGATCTAATCAGCTAAAATATTAAGAACCAATACGAGAAGTCTAAAAGGGCCTGTTTACCTGGAGGTGGGGGACCCCAGGTAGGTGAGGTAACCCGCTTTGGTGGGTAACCCACCTGTCCACATAATCTCCCATTTTAATTTGATCCCGTTTACATGATAGGTGGGGTAACCCGCCGCCTGTTACCTCACCTTTCTGGGGTCCCCCACTTCCATGTAAACAGGCCATAAAGACTACTGCACAGCTGATAACAACGTTTATAAATAACTAAGATAGTACGCGCGCGCTCTGACTGGCCGAGAGATGTGTTTGCATGAGATTATCTAAACATGTGTGGAGTCAAGATGTTTTGCTCTTCGCGGGCTAATCACACAAGCACGAATTTTAAAACGTTTTTGAGTTGAAAACTCGACAAAGTTACTTTATTTACCCATTCCCTCGTCGGATGAGACTTGGAAAATCTTTACAAATATGCTGTGCCAATTTTTTTTTCGCTTAAGCTGACATTTTACGCGAGAAAAACCCTTTTTTGGAAAGCATCTTTATTGCAAACCAAGAACTGATTACACGTACATTAAGCTTCCTGTACAAGACTTTGCGAATGGTAAGAATTTCTCTTTTAATCAGTAACCTAAACAAAGAGTTTTTTCTTTTTTCTCGGGAAAGTTATATTATAAAAGCAATAGAAAACTTTTTTCCTGTGTTTGCATAGCCTGATATAAACACTCGAGGGTTTGAGAGAATTCTTGACAGTTATGCAAACCCGAGACGACGTCGAGGGTTTGCATAACTCTCTCGAATTCTCCCAACCTCTCGAGTGTTTATATCAGGCTATGCAAACACAGGAAAAAAGCTTTCTATTGCTTAAATATTGCTTCTTTAGAAAAATACTGTTACTTTGCCGTTTACAAGCAATTTATTTGTAAACGTTAAGTTTCACGATGCATAAGGAAATGTACCGAATTTACGAGAATTAGCGCCTCGGCGCTGATCTGAGAGCGGAGCTTAATACCATAGTAATACCGCTTAGTACCGTATTTACATGAATAAGCGCCGCGGCCCTAACTAACTTCAACCCCCCCTCCAAAAGCGGCGCTTATTTGAGGGCGGCGCTTATTCGAGTAATTATTGTAATTGGCAGCTTAAGAGTTTATTACATTTAGGGCAAATTGTTATTACATTTAGGACGAAATGTTATTAAATTTCGGACTTTATTACATTTAGGGCCGTTTATTACATTTAGGCCTTCTTCAAATGGACTGTTAAATCTAGGGAGCGTGGGGAAAATGTGGACAGATCCGGGGAAGTCTCAGAAGTCTGACTGCCCAACTTTAGAGTTTGTTGGCGAGGACAGGTTGATAGTCTTTTCTTCCACTTGAAGTGATGGGTTAGGATAAACGAAATAGACCCTTCCACGGTTATTTTCAACTTTTGACATGGACAAGTTAGCGAAAATGCGGCGACACCACTGGAAAAAGCTCCTTAAAATTAGTAAAATTTCCAAGTTTGAGAGTGATTTGATAGAAAAAAAAAACGAAAATAATTATAGCTCCTCAAAGTGGCGAAATTTTGAGGACGTTTGTATGGTGGAGGGTACAAACTTGCCCCTGACCATACAACTTTGGTTACTGGCTATATCTTCGCTCACTTAAGACGTATTGCTTTCAAATTTGACAGTTTTACTAATTTCAAGGCGCCCTTTTCAGTAGTGTGACGAAGGATTTTCCCAAACTGGCTCATGTCAAAGGGTGTATTTAGTAAAGGGCGACGTCAGGGTAAACGGATCCGTTTCCTTAAATTCACCGCTATTGACTACATCAGACTTCGTGGCATTTCATTCAAATACTTTATTGATAAAGCAGAAGATTAAACTCCAGGTTTTGAATAGAAGAAATGCTTGGTTTCTTGCCTGGTGCCGTCTCTCTTAAAGGTTTGCATGATCATCTTATCTTTACTTAGAATAAAGTGAAATTACGAATAAGAAAAGTAAGGGTTTCACACGTGATGAAGGATTCAGGCAGCGGCACTTTCTTCACCACCAGTTTCTTCCATCGGTTCCACTCCAGCTCCAATCAAAATTAAAGAAAAGGAAAAAAATAGTAGTTACTCACGGTGTAACTTAATTGAGCAATACGTTATTTTAACCGAGGTTGATTATTTGAACACATCATAGACCATTTTACAGTTACAGGCGAAAACGAGGCTGGAGTTGACCAATACAACCCTTCCTGCTTTACTATGTAAATCCTGGTGTTTTTATGCTAACTAGGACGTTTTTTTTAGCACAGTTTCCATGAGAAAAGGAAAGAGGTTTGTGTTAAAACAAGGTCAACCCCAGCCTCACGTTCACTCAAAGGCTGGGACACCAAGCTCACAAGTGTAAAATGGTCTATTTTCAATACTACATTTCCATCCTTGGTCAAAAGCAGTTGACACCAGCCATAGACATTTTAAATTAAAACTGATGTTCAACCCTTGCACATCAAAGTGCCGCGTCTCCTGTTTGTCAAACACGAGAGAAAACTGGTCAAGTGTAATAATATTAGTCTACAGATGGAAGATGAAAATAAACAGAATATATTAGAAATATTTGAAATAGATAAAAGTTACCTTGACTGAATTCTTTCAGGTCAACGTAATCTAGGTCTGCACAGTCAACCACACGTTGGCGGGATTTTATTGTTAAAATGCTAAAAAGGGTCACCAACAAACGATGGGAGTTTGACCTTCATGCGGGCTGACTGTGAAGACCTTTAGTGAGAAAGGAAGCTATAACTGCAGTCTTGGTTACATGGATCCGATATGCTGGGGTCAGGAAATGGACAGGGCAGTGCTCGTGTGTTGCTAGCGTGCTGCGTCAGTAAGAATACTACACTGCTGGAGTTAGGGACCTAAATCAAGCCCAGTCTAAATATCATTAAGGGTTAAAGAGCGCTATACTTACCGCTCAGGAGTCTGAGCCACGAAAAATATCAGCCCGAACAAAATTCTTGTAAAGACGCTTTGTTCATTTTTATTTAAAAACCTTACTGGGATGAAGAAGTCAACTGGCTCAGCAAAACGAATCAGTCTCTAGGCAGGGACCGATCAGATCCTCTAAATCGACTAAAGGTGCCGTCGGCTGATCTCAAATCAAAAACGGCGCGAATTAAACTGTGACCCATTCTCAGAGCGGATGTAGAGAAAACGTTGGTGCATTGCACATTCACTTCGGGGTCATATCCAGTGAAGAATTTTCCTTTAGGTTTTAAAAGAACACCAAATTGTTTTCTCTGAAAAAAAAAATATAAAAACATTCTTAAAATGCGCTCTCTTGTATTAAATGCCGGGGCAAGGATGACGCAAATAATGTGTGTTGCTTTCGCCGATCAGTTTTCAGTTAAGTGGCTGTTTTTTTTTCCAAGTATGGAGGCCCCCTTAGTTTAGACTTAGCTTAAAATGAGTTAGAGCTCAACACACGTGCACGCTGGGCCAAGCGTTAGAACAGAAAGAAAGAAATAAAAGAATAAATGATTGCAAAGGTAAGAATCATGCAAAATTGTTACTTTGACAACAAGACGCATTTGTTCCTAAGTTAGAGCATTTTTAGCGAATCAGTAAAATACTAGACAAGGTGCAAATGTATTTCATTTTAAAGCGAAGTTAAAATTTAGGAACGAATTCCTCCGTGAGAGTTAAACTATTTAAATTTTTTTTAAATGATTTTAAAATTTACTGTTTTTGTTATTGTAACAAAAAACGTATTCTCTGCACTGGTCAACATTTCCTTTTCTTGGCATTGAACTGACAGTCACACAGTGACTTTTTCAGTACGAACCCTTTTTTGAAGAACGGTTAAGGTAAAATTAAACTTAAAAACATCTCAAGAATATGACTAAGGCTGACATTTATAGCCAAAACGTTATTTTAAACAACATAGAGACTGAATTAAGGAAAATAAAAAATTACACTTCAAAATTTCAAAATTTGAAATTTGTTTACCGGTTCTTTAGCCTCATCAAACTGTGGGTCTCTCAGGAAATTAATTGCGCATTATCCATCACGTATGCTTTTAGGGAAGTCAAATCTTAAACCACAGTACGTTCTATCGGTTAAATTAATTAAATGCCTAAGATTATTAGTGAAATGATTATCAACAGAAGAACAAGTTAGTTCAAGAGGCCGTAAGAGGATTCATCATCGGTGCGGATATAACGTACTTTGATAAAGTTCTTACCAATTCTTTACTGGGGAATAACACTGGAAGCCACTCATTATAGGTGATATGTTGAAGCTCTGCTATTACAATCTTACGCGCCTCTTGAAACAGTCTCGTCATCCGCGTAGGGACGGAGCAATTTAAGGTTTGTTGCAATACGGTTGTGCTCGCGAACCCACAAAGTGTGCATCGCCATAAGAGCTGCAATAAAATTACTCCACGGTTATTCCTTTATGCTGATTAAGAGACGAGTTTTGCATGAAAATTTAGAATTTGTTAGTTAATTACTATAATACTGTCCAGTTTCGTACTAGTTTGCATCTATCTATCATCTATCTACGTAGCGCACCCACTTGCAATCATCCTCTAACAAATTTGTCAATAAGGTAATTAGACTTGTCAAATTAGTTTGTTTTTACCTTTGAATGCGCCGGCTTTAATAACATTCCTGTCCACATAGGCTTGCTTCCTTCGCCAATTTGTTTTTGGTCCGCTTTTCTTAGGAGCCTGTTCGCAGGCTATATTCTAAGTGAGCGCCCTGAAATGCTACACGTACATGTCAGTCAAACCTTGCTTGTTACGGTACAAATTGTACCTGAGGTATCGGGTTTCATCAATCATAAATGGGTACTTTGATTTAAAGGTTATTTTAACTGAAGTTTAGCTATATCTTGCCCTTTTCCATTCTATCTTATCTCTTTCTTTAGTTTTCTTTTGTTTCATTCATTCATTCTTTCTCCCTTTATCTTTAAAAAGTTAAGTGACTGTAAATGAATCAAATGAATAGAAAGATGACAAAACACACAAAACGAATTATGCGTCTTGGGCGGCACTTTCACTTATACTATTTTAAATAATACGACTCTGTTTACTTTTGACTTGAATTTTGATTGGTGATTTGAAAGATTTTTAAAAAGAGAATGTCTTTTCTACCTTGATTTTCATTGACTCGAGCATCGCCAGCAAGAAAGCAAGGTTTTTCTTCTGGATTGGCAGATCTACAGAAAGCTTCTTCACTAGCATCAGGAAGTCTTGGTAGGCCTCCAATGTTTCTGAGTGGCACCGTATCTAGAAGTCCATGGCCTTTGGGACTTCGAAGCAGTTTAGCTAATTCTTCGCTTGATCCCTACACTTGTGACCCGTCAACATAAGCGGTGATAATATTTATCTGAAATAATAAAGACGTTATTGGTATAAGAGATAATATTTATTTGAAATGAAAAATAAAATTGACAATTATTAGACGAGGTTGAGTACTAAACATATTAATAAATATAAATAAACTCATGGACTGGAAGCAATCTGCCATTTTAAGGGAAGAGCGATTGGACGGAGGAGAAAAGCGAGGTGTCATTTACCCTTAAACAGAAGACTTTTTGCAGCCAAACACAGTTGGACGACATTTCGCATGAAAAGACCATTATTTGTTGGAGTTATTTGCAGGTCACATGGTGGGTTCTAGGCCAATAAAAAGGAAGAAAAATTGGCATCGAATGATAATAGTGTATGCCAACGAGTAAATAATGCTTTTCCATGGACTCCGAGTGTCATTCAAACCCTGGAGTCTTTTGTTAGTGTCATGTGACACTGCAGATGATTACCACGTTTTGGCTGACCTTATTTGCAAGATTAAAGTGGGAGCTACTGGTTTCGATGCGTCTCTTTCAACACCTTGAAGATGTTCGCGGAAACGGCAGCTTAGTCTGGCCTGTTTCGATTTTGCATAACTTTTACTCAAAACGTTTAGTCCTACTCTAACTCAAAACCTAGTATGTGTCCTATTCTTAAGGGTTCTCGCGTCTGGAAAACTTCTTGGAAATCCACAGACAGCCCAAACTCAGTATAAGAGTTTAATCATTAACATGCTTCATGTGTGCTAATGCGAATTTAGCAATTTTTTTTATTTCTTCTATCCCGGTGTTTCTCCTCCTAAAATCAGATCAGATCGGGAAAAAAATCACACAGGAAGCAAACAATAACTAAATTAATAAAGTTAAACATTTTTTTCTTGGAAATTCACCCGAGTATTGATCTTCTTGAATCTCTTTCCTAATTTCCATTTAAGCACCTTAAGTTCACGACCGTTTTGAAGATTACGCAATAGGATACCAAACGTATTAATGATTTAACTCTCATACAGAGCTTGAGCTGCCTGTGGGAAACCATATCAAATAGACGCTACTGTGTGTATTACTGGACATTTATGAAAAAGTTAAATACTCCACTAACCTGGTCACCAGCTGCGTTTCTCACAGACCTGGAAAGAGGAATGCATTGTACAGATTCGTTAAATAACAGTTCTAAACCATTCGGGATTTTTATGTTAACACATCCAGGAATGGTGTTGCATGGTGCATTGTTTATCCCACAATCTAAGCCTTCAGGCAGCTCTGTTAAGGTGACATCGTGACCTAGGAATTGTCCCCAGGTCATTGTCAGGTGGGTAAAATTCACAATAGTGCCATTGATATTCGCAGTATCATTGTTCTCCAAAGCTTCAACGCTAATTTTTCTGGGATCTGTAAGTGGCTTAAAATCAACTCCCAAACTTCGTGGTGCTTGACTACCGGCAGTTTGCTCTATTCTTCAGTATCTTCAAAACCAGTTTGGCTGCTGCATCAGAAGACGATGCTTGGCGTACTTCATAAGTGCCAACAATAACAGCAATGCATAGGAGAATGCTGAAACGGAAACAAAGAGACCGGAAATCTAAAATTAACCTAAGATACCTCAATCCCGCGGAGCACCTACATTCTCCCAAGTTAGCCTAAACAGGTTCTTACGTAAATTGTAATTGTACAGATTTACGCTATTTAGGTTCTTAAATACACTGTAAAATGAAAAGAGCCAAACGGGTGAGTCCAGAATGGTACTGTTTTGTGGGCCAATTCAGCCCCACTGAGATGGGGCTGTTTTGGTACCAAAATTTAGGGCTAAATTGACCCTTGCATAGGGGCCAAATTAGACCATGTAAAGGGTCAATATGGAAAACACTAGGGCCATTTTGGATTTTCCAGTAGCCAAAACAGCCCCTTCAAATTTTGGCCCTCTTAAAAACTACCCCTCCAAAAGTAGCCGATTCAGCCCCATATCGGGCCATTATGGTTTTTTTAATTTGGGTGGGGGCCTACAGATTTTTTCCCTTAATTAGGGTATTGATAAATAATGAAACCAAACTAAGGCTTATTTCAAACATTTATTCAGTTCTGAATAAGTTACTGTGATCTGTGTACATCATAACAACGCGTATTCCAACCTATTTATGTAATATTATCTTCGGTTAATCTCAACTTTTCTAGATTGAACATTTAGAATTATTGGAGGAATTAAATTGGCCAAGAGAGACACTTGTCTTCGGTGCGATCAAAGTAACTACTTCTTAAAACGGTTTTCACAAAAGACAAAGTCAAAATCATAATCAGCATCATAGGAACACTTAAAACCTATAGTGAAAATCAAAAATTGGAGTTGTAAAGGGTTTCATCAATTACAGCTCACCAGAATTGGAGTCAATTAAGGTTTCTTTTATAACTCCCCTTTTGACAAAAAAAATAAAAGATTGTCAGATGGTCAAGTTCTCCTGCTAACAATTCCGACAATGTACATTAGATTGAAGCAAAAGAGTTGTAAGAGCAATAATGAACTAAGATGCTTTAGCTATATCAATTCTCAAGCTTCTGATTATGACTACGACTCTGTCTACCTTGCTAGTGCGAGCCTTTAATGACTTGACCTAATCCTTTTGAAGGGTGGTTTTCACTCGTGACAAAGTCAGGCTCATAGTCAGAGCACTCATCACCTAGTGAAAATCAAACATCAGAGTTGCAAGGGAAGTCATAACTAGAAGCTTGATGGAATTGGAGTCATCACAACTTTGTACTCTTCAGATTCTGCTTATGATGTAGAAAACCAGATTAAGCTGGGGTGTAATCGTCAAAGGATAAACCACTTACCAGTCAAAATTCTTGTTCCCATGCTTTATAGTTTTCACTAGATCAAAAGTGAAGGAGTCATAATTGGAGTAATTAAACCCTGTTAGTGTTATATCTAGATCAACACTCTATGCTTTTGATTACAGTTCCGACTCTGTATCTTACTAGTAAACCAGCCCAGCCCTTAATGACTTGGCAAATGTTTTAAACTATATTTTACTCCACAGATATTATGTTTAAAAAATCTTGCCAAATCTTGGTCTATAAGAGTGAAAGAAAACTTCCATGAAAAACATTTTGACAATTTGGCTACACCTTGCGAGGTTGTCCTGAGTTAACATTCAGCAAGAACTGAGGTATTTGCCAAGTCATTAAAAAAGGGAGGAAACATTGACAAGTGTCTACCCCAGTCCATTTTCAAGCAATGCCTGATCTAGAAAAGTCAAGATGCATTGGGTGTATGATACATTAAATACATAAAAAGACCCAAGCAATATTATCACTGCCTCAATCTTCTTCTGAGGAAACTGGCAAATAATGCCTCCCTTTGTCACAACAAAATCCTGAATTTTCCTGTCAACATCTACATCCCTCTGCAATAAAAACAAATGTTGTACTTTTAGAAATGATAAAAACAATAATCAAAACACAACAAACAGTGCGTACACATAAAAAAGTCAGTATGGTCATAACAATACTATTGTCCAAAAAATGTTGGTTTAATTACTTCTTTCCAGTTTTCAGGTATGCATGTATGGTATACTGTATAAATTATAGTTTGTTGAAATTATGCTTCCTTTATGTTATGGGAAAAAGAATGACAGCATAGTTATGTTTAATACATTCACACATCATTGAGGAGGTAATTACAGTGTGCATGTCCTGATACAAGAAGATTATTTTAGTACATGTATTTCTCACCAATCAAGAAATTTTGCAGCTGTAAATCAAAATTCATTAAGTATTATGTAGCCATTATTATTCTGTGAGATTTGGTGTAGTCTGGAGACGGGAATGGCCCCCAAGGGATACCTTCATAACAAAAGCTAAATTGCATCTCAATTTTGTCTGACTTTCCACTTGTATCTGGGCTTCCCAAGCATTTAGGGTTCAATGTACAGTTGAGTTTGTAGCACTCCTGTGGTATTTTGTATCACAATATCAGGAAAAACATTGTATTCCCAAAACACCTACCTCTACAATAGTGATAAATTCCTCCCGAAGTCCTCTTAGCACTCCGATCAATGCCGCAGAACCTTGTTCACTACCAAAAGGATGCCCGCCTCTCTATTTCTGCCATAAGAGAAATGCTATTAAATTAAAACTGGTTGACTTGGAGCACCAAGTTTATTTACACACAGTTCTGAGTATTGTGGGAGCAAATTGACTGACAGACCCTGTTACCTCAATCACACCTGCATAATTCTGCAACCTAAAATTCTATTTCCTAATTTTATGCATAACTTTATTATTATAATTCACATTATTCTTTCAACCCTTTAAGCCTTAAGAGTGATCAGCATCAAATTTCTCCTTGTAATATCAATGCTTTGTAAAAAAAAGAGTGTTCATGAGAATTATGGACATGATCACACAAATTGCTTGAAATTTTATCAACTTCCTCCAACTACTTCTGTAGGTAATGAATAGGGGCAACAAATGAGCATTCAAATTTTGATCTTAGGGTTAAAAGGGTTCTAAATTTCTCTATTTTTAATGCATTTATTTTGCACTTATTTATCAGACAAGAGAAATGATGCATTGGTAAGGTAGACCTTACTTAAAACAAAACAAGTACTGAAATCTACAGTGTAAATGTATAACCAGACCACACAATCCTTACCACCTTCTTTAGTTGAAATGGCTTTAAGGTTTCTTCATTAGATATGTTTATCATTCTCCCTGTTTTAAATAGGGGACAGCAGGGGCGTAGCGTCCATATACGCACGTACGCCCGTGCGTACAGCTGAGATCTGAGAAAAAATTTTTTCTCATTAAATTTGGTGGCTAATAATTTCATATTTTCACATTATACTGGCGTTTTTTTTTTAGAATTCCCATTATCCAAGCATTAATCGTTCAGTGCTGGCCAAATGGCAAAATGCATTTGAGTGGTAAGCAAAAATAGGAAAAATGCCTCATGTACCCCTCCCTCAAGGTCAGCCAGCCTCACCGGTTTCCCCAGCCCCGCAGGTATTCTTGAAGGAGAGGTTACTATGCCATGACGTCTGGCTTCAGAACAAAACGTATTTGCCGTCAACGGAGATTAGGAATATACTTGTGAGGTCAAACAGTGAAGCCCTGGTGATTGATTTTCCGAAGAAACTGTTAGAGAATCCTATGAATATTTCTGCGACTTGAGGAGCATGATCACTGGCTTCTGTAGTGTTTTGGTATGTTTCGTGACACAGAGTACACACATATGCCTCGAAAATCGATACACGATTACTTCAACGTAATCAACAAGACAACTGAACAACGTGCAGAGGTAGCTGAAGCTACGTAGGCATAAATTCTGAGGATGAGTTTAAAACCAAAGTCACAAGATGGAAGCACAAATGGAGTGGCATGGATCCGAATATGACGCCGCAGACTTTGGTTGAGACTCTTGACCACGCAAACTCCCAATTTTATCCAGGTGTATATGTTGCTCTCGTAACATTGTTAACTTATCCTGTGTCTACATGCACTGCCGAACGTAGCTTCAGTAGCATAAAGAGACTAAAATCTCCGCTGCGAAGTACGATAATGGGCGAAAGATTAAGCTCCATAGCAATCCTTCCAGTGTTCTCACCAGGCCGCGGCCTTGCGGGATTCCCGCAAGAAAAACTGAAATGGCGCATTAAAACCAAGAAGATGCGCCCGTTAGGGCGCAGGGGCAAGCTACGAGTCAAACGGACTTAAGTAGTTTTTATGGTCAACCTAACACTAAAGCATTCTGTTTGTTTGAATAAATAAAAAACATGATATCAAATGAGTCAAAGTCTTTAATTTTGTTGCCTTTACTTTCATTGGTCCCACGCACGTCCCACTACATCGTAAACTCCTCCTCCGAATCGTAAACACCTCTTCCGCCATATTGGATCAGGTAGGTACTTCATGTAACAGACAATTTGGAGTGCGGGCTCAGGTTCTTCGTACCGCGTGTTTTTTGTAACTTTGTCCCCCTAATGTTCTTACAGGGCCCCCATTTCTCAGAAGAGGGGGCCCTGGGACTCCCCAAGGCAAAATCCTGGTGAGAACACTGTCCTTCATATACATAAACATAAGAACGTGGATATTAACAGGTTGGTAACGGAGTTTGCCTGTCTTAAGGGTCGATGCCTCGCCCTTTGCTTGTGACCTGTCTTCATTGTTTTTGTATTTTTTTTTCATTTCGGAACACTGTAGCTTACAGAAAACACTAGGGAAATGGTTAAAATAAACAACTTTCTACTGCATTTTTGCCGCATTATTTATTGAAAATGCCCCGCAGAAAAACCAGGAGATGGCATTTCCGAG